CTCTGCCACAACGACCTGCTCTGCAAGAACATCATCCACAACAGCAAGGAGGGTAGGTGGGCTCCGCTGGGCTCAGAGTCTGAGTCAAAGCCCAGCCTGAGATGGAAGATGGAGCTTTTTTCGAGCGGAATTGCACAGGAAGTCAACATCCAGGCTCAACAAAAAACTAATATCATCAGCATAGAGCCGTACTTGTGTTGTGTTGAGTGTGACCTCTCTGCAGGTTCTCAAAGCATCTGAGGAATTATGTCTTGGAACAATAGTGCAGCACATAACCGAAGACCATAAAGTAATGACTGGTTGTGTTTTAGGTCACGTTCGATTTATAGACTACGAATACTCCAGTTACAACTACCAGGCCTTCGACATCGGCAACCACTTCAACGAGTTTGCAGGTTGGTGATCAACTTTACGGTTTGAATGCAGGAGGTGATTTTGTTTGGGTTATATCTCTGTTGTATCCTGTTGCTGTGGTGATCAGGCATGGCCGAGCTGGACTACGGCCTCTACCCGAGTCTCCAGATGCAGATGGACTGGCTGAAGGAGTATCTGCAGGCCTACAAGCTGTTCACCAAGAACACCGACCAGGTCAGCCAGCGGGAGCTGGAGACGCTCTACGTTCAGGTCAACAAGTTTGCTCTGGTGAGGAGAAACAGCCTGGTTCATGTTCAGATCAACACAGCCCGGCTGTGGAACCGCAGCTGATGTCTAACGTTTCTCCCCAAAGGCTTCCCACTTCTTCTGGGGCTTCTGGGCTCTCATCCAAGCCAAATACTCCTCCATAGACTTTGACTTCCTCGGGTATGTTCCTGTTCCTGTGTCTGATAGTGTGTGAGACATATCTCACATGATGAATTAAAATAAGTGTGATATTTTCCATTTGGACAGCAGTCATTAGAGATGCTCCCCTTTAATGTTGAAAAGCTGCCATTTTGAGAAATGCAGCCAACATTTGATAAGAAGTATCAAATGTTTGCACTACCTGCCACTTTTGCCTGTTTTCCCTGTCTAAGCTGAATGCTGTTTTTTTAAAATATAGTTTAAGTTAGAGACTTCCTGACCCATTGTAAATATTTCTGTTTTACTTTGGATCTTTACATTTTTTCTGGTTCCACTGATAAATATTCTTTAGAAATTAAAGTTTTTTTTGTCTCCCCCCAGTGGGTGTGATTGCATTTTTATGCTTTTATTATTAGACCAGTAAAACAAATTATCTAAAAATAACAATATTATTGTTTATTACAATCATTTCTGGGGCTGTTTATTGATTTATTGTCTGGTGTTCCTGCTGCTGTCAGTCACTTCCTGTTGTATTTGGCAGGTACGCCGTTCTTCGTTTCAACCAGTACTTCCACATCAAACCCACAGTGATGGCTCTGCAGATCCCAGAGTGAGAGGAAGAGGAGGAGGAGGAAGAGGCCGAGGGTCGGGTCAGGTCGGGTCGGTTCTGTCAACCTGCTGCTGGTGGGCGGGGCCTCTCACACCACCAGGCAGCCTTCGTCTTAATCAAGCGCAATTACTCTCCTGCAAACTTACCTCAGCATCCTTCACCAGTCTGACCGCAGAATGACTGAAGCTCCATGTTATTGATTGATTTCTTCATGTTGGGGTCAGAGGTGATGACCTCTGAGCCAGACTGAGGCTCGCAGCGCTCCCCCTGTCCGGATCATTCGTCCTTCTGCTCCTCCTCAGGTTTGGTGCCAGCAGCTCATGTCTGCTGGGACTCTGTGACTCCACGGCCCTCAGGCAGCTGCTGCTGAGCCTCGGCTCAGCCGACGTGTCAATCTGTTTGTTTGAATCACACAGTGAGGAAGAGGAGCTGGACGTTTAGTTTGTCTATTTATTTTCAGTTATTCTTGGTCTCACCTGCGGCTCTGCCAGGTGTTGGTGTTTTGTTTTTGGGGCGGAGCAGAGCATCTGTCCGCTTTTCCAGCTTCTTGGCTTTTATGGCTGCAGCGACTCGCTCTGCTAACTTTCCATTTCAGCTTTCCAGACATGTTGGAAAATCCTGACCTTTGACCCCTAAACCCAATGTGTCTGCTCTCTCTCTCCTCATGTTTCAGCCTTCTGCTTCCCTCACTCCCACCTGCTTCCTACATCTGGAGCCATATTGGATTTTACTGTAACACATGGGATTTTGAGTCGCTCAAGGTCGCTTTGTTAGTTTGGACAAAATGAATCTTTGAACCTGACTTTAGAAATGCAAGTTAATAATAACTGTATAAATATTTCGGGGTGCACCGATAGCTATTTTTTAGCTCATCACCAATATTTTTTCCTTTTTTTTAAGCCTGACATTCCAGTTTTAGCCTTTGTCACTTTCTTTTCTCTGAAAAGTTGCTGAATGTGGCTCCAAAAGTTGCCAACAGTGGCTGAGTGTTGTTAAATGTCCACATCCAGCCCACCGGGTCACATGGACAACATGATTCATTCAACCCATTTTTAGAAATGCAACTTAACATGTCGGGGCACAGATTGCACTTTTTGACCAATCAACAATTTCTTTTTTTCTTTCTCTTTGAAGCCGAGTTTGGCTGACATCAATTTTTATTTATTTATTTATTTATTTTTCTTGGTCTGAAAAGTTGCTAATTAGAGCATCAAAGGTTGTCAACTGCAGCTAATGCTACCATAAAAGTCCAGCTTCAGATACAACCATACATGTCCAGCTGTGACCGGTGGGCCGGTCCGTCACCAAGTCACCAGGTCATGCAGAGCAAAGTGGGACAGGCTCATGTCCCAACCTTTGCAGAGGCCCATCACTAAAAATGTAGGATATCTGAGCCAATTCCTCAGTGCATCCCTATAAAAATTTGTAAAAATAGGAAAAAAAAAAAGTCAAAGTGAAAAACGTGTAGTAAAGTCCCTTCTGTTGGTTGACGTGTTCAGAGCCTGAATATGGGAAGGATCTTCAGTAAACTTGTCTGGCTGTGGGTTTGGTGTGTCTATATGACTCAAAACACTCGATACTAGTTCATCTAAAAAAACAATAGGTGCCTAAATGAGGATTATCTTGCCATAATTTACTTTCTCTTACTTAAAACTACCAGAAGATTCCATTTCCGACCGCAAATAGAATCATAAAAACATCGACTACATAAAAACCTGATCGGTGCAGCTCAGCCTTTGTCTCCTTCATTCTGTCTCAAGTCAGTTTGAGCCATTTCTTCACACTCCAACATGACTGTATGACGTCTGTCTGTAGTTCAGTACAGCCCCCACAGGGGGAGCCAGTGAGCCCGACCTTTGTCCTGCATTGCTGGTGTTGTGTAGCGGCTGGGTTTAATAATTGAGCAGACTCTGATGCTGATTCGCTTTGAGCTGCAGGGACTTCAGGGAGAAAGTGAAGGAGCCGTCCGTCTCTAAAGCCAAACCCTGTCTGTTCTGACAGAGGATTGTTTTTTATGTCGCCGTGACGACTGCTGAAACGTGGCTCATGTTTGGGAGCAGAGAAGCTGCAGTGATCACCAGGCCACAGAGCAGCTCGTGTAGATTTCGGACTAAATTAGTGAAGTAAATACTTTGATGCACAATCACAGCTCGGCCTGGAGAGAAGGCGCATTTGCACCGTAGAAAGGCTCCGAATTGACCTCTGACCTCGAGCCGACCTCATCTGCTGACAGACTTACTCAGAGAAAACGCTGCAGACTGATTCTGCTCAGAGCCGAGGCTCTATGTTTGGACCACTGAGGTTTCTCTCTCGTCATCAGTATTTCCAGATGAGCTGGTTGCTTTGTGCTCAGCAGGGCAGAATTAGCATTAAAACATTCCTGCACATTAATTTCCCACAAATCTGTGAAAGCAGTTTATTTATTGAGTGAAGCTAGCACTACATTTCCCACCTTTTTATCGTGTTCTTTGATCACACCAGTGACAGTCTAGCTTTGAACTGCAGCTTATTTAAGGTTGGATTATTTCCGAGTGAATGTACTAATGTATTTTAAAAAAACACTGTTGAGTTTAGTTTTTATTTTTACTTTAATTTCCTTTTTGTAAAGCATTGCCAGAAGGGCGGAGTTGTGTGTGAAAGGAGCCAGAGTCTGGCTTGCAGACAGGAATTTGTAAATGTGTGGAGAACTGAGGATGTAAATACTGTAATAAATCCTGTGAAAAGTTTACTGTACACTGATCGTTCACAGCCTGTAGGAGTGAAAAGAATTATTTAACGACTATCGGTAAATATTTCAATTAAAGGCTAAATTGATTTTAAAAGGATTCTCCTGTGTGATAAACCTCATTGTCTGTGTGTGTGTGTGTGGATGGCCTGTGGTCCATGTTCCAGCTTCCTTTCTGCCCATGAGGAACAGGGGCTCAGGACCCGGGACTTCCTGCCTGTTACTGTAACACTCGGGTGGAAACAGAACGAGATAAACCAGAAAACCACCACTGAACTGATCCAAACCGATAGTTATTTAACTGACGCCGAGGATGCACTGATATGAAAGTCTGTGTCTTAATATCTCTGTTGTGGCCAATAACCAATATTTATTGATTTTATGTATTTCACTTTCCTTTTGTTGCCAAATCCTCTTCCTCTCTGCATCCTGAAACAAATGGCAACAAGATGAAAATAAACATCAGGTGTTGGACCAATATCAGTAGTTTAAAAAAATGAAACGCTTCATTTGTCGCCGACTGAATGCAGATATATTGCAGATCCCTCGTTTCTACAAAGATCCAGCGAGGCAGAATTAACTGGACAGTTCCAGATAAACCAGAAAGTTTCTGTTGGTCCATCTGGAAGATCAAAACTGTTCCCTGCAAAAATTTTTTATTTAAACTACATAAATTTTAATGTTAAAAATGTTACAGTATCATGTAAAATTGACTGTCATGTCATGTCATAATATTCCTGTACCTAAAACATATCTGGAGTGTTGCCTTGATTCTTTCATCCATGTTTGACAAATTCTTTAATCTCCATGGCAACCATTCAAGTTTGTAGAGCATTTGGGAGAACCAGGCAATTGGCAAGAAGTTTAACTTATTAAAAACAAACATGATTAAAACAACCAGTTTATTGTCTTTCAAAAACTCTGAAAACATATGGAAATGTACACCTTTAAATTACACAAGCTCTTATAAACAAAATAAAGTTTTTCTATATTTACATCAGCATGGTAATGACAGGTGGTTCTAGTATGTAATAAAATAATTCATTTATCTCTGTACACATAAGAACCAGCATGTTTCTGATGAACCTTCATGTCCAGTTTAGGCCTGAGACACTTTCCCGCCTTTCTTGTTTAACCGACCTCACACTTAGCTAATGGTAGATTAACAGCTAACAAACAACTTCTTTATTGAAATAATCTAAATACCATGGAGCCAGGATATGATGAGAACAAAGACACCACAGTTATGAAGTTATATCTTGAAATTCATAACATTTTTTTAACAAAATAAAACATTAAGTACCAGGTTTTCTTCTGTGTGATTTTAATGCAGCCAGTGAAACTTAAGCTAACCTGTTAACTACTAGCTAACAGTTTTCTTCACCAATTAAAAAAAAATGAATAAATAAAATAAATAATCTTCTTAAAACTTCTTCTCAAACGTACATTTCTTTGGTGGAACCAGAATTAAGAAGTCTGAGTCAATAATTTCAATTTAATAAAAGGTAGGAATCATTTCAGGAACCTACAGTTTGTCAACTTGACCTATGCTAAAGTTTATGCTATCAAAGTTAGCACAAAGTCAAAAAGCCCCAGAACTTTGTGGAGGGAGTTAAAGATTAGGTGATGCCAAAAGGCCCGTCAAACTCAAAGTGAATTTGGGGAATGTTAAAACACTGCTTTCAGTAAAGGGAAACATCCATTACTTTACACTGAAATAGGTTTAATAATTCAGGGTCTAACTGTAGCTTATGATCATATTACTGGTAATCAAAAGTTATAAATCTCAAGGAAGGAACAAAATTTAACTAACTTCTTGAGGTTTTGTTTGTTATTGTTGATATTAGCTTGTGTAGCTAGGCTTTCTGTTGGGTTAGCTCGCTGTTTAAACAAACACACCGGTCGCAACTGGTTATGCTTTGCCCTAAAAATAAAGAAGAGTAATGATTTGTCGTCCCTCATCGTCAGCAACTACATGCATATTTTCTAAATGGATTCTCTTGTTGGCAGCAGTCTTACTGCAGCTAGCTAGCGATTTATGAACAAAACTCCAGTCAGTTTTTTTTTTCCATTAAAAGTTCGTAGGACGTAAACCTGATGCGATTCTGAAGCTAAATGTTTAAAAAAAATCCTTGTATGCCATCACACCAATAACTGACCATCAGCCATTTGTAAAAACAGAACTTAATATCACACAGCCAGATAAGGAAGGGGGACCAACTATGGTGCCAGTGTACTCATCATGACCAGTGTCTCTAAAGAAGTGGAAAGTGCTATCGTATTACAATTTGTGTCCGCTGTCAGATGGATGCAGGTTTATTTACGTTCAGCTCCCTTTCATACGCAACAGAAAGATTGCGTTCAAAATCACTTTTTTTTTTTTTTTTTACATCTGGTTCTCCAAGGAAACCAACTTAATCCATTTCTTTTAGTGCTCCACTGTTGTCATAACTAATATTTTCTATTACAAAGCAAATCATGAATATTATTACACCTCTGCAGGTCCAAGTTACAGTTCATCGTGGACTGAGTGATCTCAGACATTTTTCTTGCTGCTGGACGATCTGAACGAGAATGTAAACGATGATGAATGAAGGAACTTCAGCATCGTTTCACCAAGAAAAAAACAAAACAAACAATAAAAACATGTATTTAAATGCACAGATTAAACACAACAATCAAGAAACACTTAAAAAGCAAAAAACAAATATATGCAACAGGCTGGGGGTCAACCCTCCGAGCCGGAGAGAGAGCTGAAGTAAACACGCTTCACTTTAGGAAAACAGAAGAAATGTGGAGGAAGAGGAGGATGTGACTGGGGTTATCAGGCGATGATGGATTCACTCCATTTCAAATCATAACTTTAAACACATTTCTTTAAAACTGCTTTTATATCTGATGTCTTCTGCACTTCATGCTCAAGTGATTTTATTATTGTATCTTTTAATTGATTTTATGCATTTTGTACGGTGACAAGGAGCCAATGAATAATAAAATGTTTTTTTTATGATTGTTAATTTAAGGTAAAAAAAAATCCAAGCTTTAATTTGTCCACCAGATTTTTCCCTTCGGTCTCCTGGTAGACTTTATGATGCCTTACAATCTGGGTTAGAAAATTCTTTAGTTCTGTTCGTTTGACAGGAATCATCAGGGGAGCAGACACCAACAGACAAACGTACTCAGATTAAATGTTGGAGTTTTGAGATTACGTGTTAAATTATTTGAAGGCTTTTCCAGATGTGCTGACGAAAAGAAAAAAAAACACACAATAAAACAAAGCAGCCGACTCTAAAAACAGACATGATGATGAAGCACCCTGCTGTCATCAGGCTTTTCTTTGGTCAGGTTTGGGTTGGATGTGAACGGTCCACTGCTACCTTTATGTCTGCCTTTTGTAATGACTAGCTTCCACCACCAGGGGGCGGTGCGGACCCAGTCTAGCGTCCTGGGCTGCCTGACAGGTGAAAAGCAGCTAATCTAAGTTGAACAGTTACTTTGGAGCTTCCTGCAGCGATTCTAATCCCTGGGAGGCGTATTGTTTGATAAAAGGCAACATGGAAGAAAAACAAGAAGCAGAAGGGATTAAATGATAACTTTCTACATTCTAACAATAGTTAAAAAAAAAGAAAAAAGAAAAGAAAAAGAAACACAAAGCAGGTGATGACTCATCTGGGAAGGGAACTGATAAGGACTTGTATGAGGGAACTGGGTTTACTGGGGAGTTTGTATTAATGTACAACCAGAGTACATGTGTGTGTGGCGTCTCAGTCGTCCAGGATTTGGATTGTGATTGCCTCAAAACCAGGAGCGACATCTGAAGCTGAAGTTCTGTTCGTCTTCCTCTCCATCTCCTCGCTCCGCCAGCCCACCAGACCCACCGGGCCCCCGGAGGCCCACCAGGCCCGACCTGATCAGTCTGTGAGCAGCACCAGTTCCCCCTCACTCCTCTCTCCCACGTCGCTTTCTTCTCCTTCGCTGTACGGCAGTCGCTCTCGCTTTCTTTCCCTCTCTCTCTCCCTCTCCCTCTCCCTCTCTCTCTCCTGCACCCTCTCTCTTTCCCTGTCCCTGGGCAGTGGGGTGGGCGTGGCCCGGTCCTCAGACCTGCGGGCGGGGGGAGGGGCCTGCGGCAGGTAGTGCTCCAGCAGTGCCGGGTGAAACGGTAAGCCTGGGACGGAGATGGAGCCGCCGGCTGGGTACTGGTCGCTCTGGGAGTACTGGATCTGCTGCGGCTCTGATTGGCTGGAAGACAGGATGAGTCACCGTCAGGGCGTGGCATCAGACACGACGCAACACGATACATAAATAACAAGTCTTATTCATTTTATTCACTATTAAAAGTACTAATCTATGTGCTAAACCCGAATGAAACAGCTGGAGTGGAAAGCTGCTGAAAGAAACCAAACTTGAATTTACATGTAAAATGCTTCAACTGGGGAAAACTACAACTTTACGTCACCCTGAACGCACCATAAATTGTCCCAGAAGTTATTGCGATAAATGATAATATTGTTTTGAGACCATTTTCAAATAACCTAATAGTAATGGCATAATAACACTGCAACAACACATTGTCAAAGACCAATAAACTTTAAATTCTAACTAACATTGAAAACTGGAACTGGAAGAGATTTTAAATATACAAAATAAAAATAACAAATCAATTATAAAGTCTCTAAACAAAATTGTCCTTCAATAAAAGTTCTAGTCATAAAATTAGAAATCATGGAGCTCATTTTAATTTATTTAATTGATTTATTGTTTATTGCAATAGGCCTAGTGGAGGCAGCATCATGCTGTAGGGATGTTAGAGGCTGGAACAGAGGCTCCCTCTTCCTGCTGCATGAAGATACTTCACTGTTTTGATTCCCTCGTTTTAAATGTTTAACGTCTTTATTGTCCTAGTGATTAAAAAAAATGATAGTTTGAAAATTAAAAACAAACACACAGTAAGCACTCATAACAGTTCCTAAGGGTCACACAGGATTTCCAACTCTAGATATTTTGTAAAACCTGATTAGAAAGTTAACTGGTTTAGGTCAAAGCATTTTCATGTGTTAAAATGGCCTAGTTAAATTCCACCATTAAAATACGCGGACGTTTTGACAAGACTAAATGAGAAAAAAAAAATTTTTGAGCTCATACATGTTTGAATTTTTTCATCCACGCCAGCTCCAGCCGAGTTATTAAATCTGTAATCTTTGTTTTATGAAACTTTCTGCTATGGCAAAAAGAGCATAAATAACAGCTGTTAGCTTCATCTGAAGAACTTTAAGAGTTGCATTCATTATGGAGGACAGGCTCCAAACACTTCAATAGTCCAAAGACAGGTGGAAAAGCTGAAGGCCGTACAGTTTGTGGAGGGTAACCGTGGGTTACTGTGGGTTACTGTCAGTAAAGAGGGACATTGTTGCTCTCCTCAGGGACTGTCAAAGCGAATGTGAAGCGTGTCGGTGGGTTCTCTACCTGTGTGTGTAGGTGGCCCTCTGCTCCTGCCTGCGGCTCTTCATCATGGCTTTGTACTCGCCCACCCTCAGCCTTCGGCCCTCCACAATGCAGGTCCGTTTGGGTCGGGGCTTGTACTTGTAGTCGGGGTAACGCTCCAGGTGCTGCCTGCTCAGCCTCGCCTGCTCCTCATAGTATGGCTGCTTCTCCTGGTTGGACATGGACTTCCACCTGGAGCCTGGAGACAGACACACTTTAGCATCAAGGACGTTTGAAAATGTCCCGTTTTGGTCAAACTGCAATTTTATCAACTTTTTCTTTTTTCCTCTTAAAAAAAAATTTGTTCCTCTTATTTATACAACTTGACCTTTTATTTAGGTTAGTGTAAAGGAGGCAAGGATACACACTTTTTAAATAAAAAGAAAAACATTTCCTCATAAAAATGACCATGGTTCTTTACTTTGTGGTTGGTATTCTATGATTTTATGTGGAAATATTCAAAGCACATGAATAATATGTAGCTGGTTGTGTGTATGTTATCCAACAGCAGCTTCAAACACTACACAGCATCACTGAGGCATGAAGAGTACCATGAGAATATAATTCCAATGTTTAATGACTAAAAAGCAAAACATTATCAGTTCAAGTTGAAGAACAAGAATTATTTCAGTTGTTATTGCCAAGCACAGAATTTCTCTACATGCATGAAAAACCTGATAGCCTAGCTAAACTGGAATGGAAACATTAGCAACCGTTTTGGAGTGACACTGGAGCGCCACAAACCAAATTTCAACCGCAGCCATTCAGCTAATATCTTTCTCAATATGTCAAACCAAAAACAGTTATTCAGTAAGATGTACTAAATGTAAAGACAATTAAAAAAAGTACAACATATGAAAAAACTGCAACAACATTTATGCTGATGGCTAACCTTCATGCAGTTAGCTAGGTATAGTTAAAAAAGCTAGCAGGTTAGCAAGCAGGCTACTGTGTTAACAGAAGAGTCAAAAATAGTTTTTTTTTAGCCTCATTTTGGATTTTTTTTTTTCATATTTAAACATCAACTTTCTACTAAAGAAGAACAGATGAGACCATCAACTAATAGACAAGAGGTGAGCTAGCTAGAAATCTCTGGTGCCTTGGTGAGGCTTTATTACGATCTTAGCACCAGATTTTATTTTATATTACCCGACTTGCTGGATGTTGACATCATCTTTGCAAAAAGCTACAGTTACAACGGATTTTATTAACCTGACTTTCTGCATATTGATTACGCCAACAGAATAGAGTCAGATGCAGAAACCCACCAGCCACTGGAAGAACCCACCTAGGATCTTGCTGATTGAGGAATTGTGCATGTCTGGGAAAGCCTGGAGGATCCTCCTGCGCTCGTCCTTGGCCCACACCATGAAGGCATTCATGGGTCTCTTTATGTGGCCGGTAGAGGAAGTGGGCCGGGTCTCGGAGTAGCTGCCAGGAACAGAGACAGGCAGGGCCCCCCCTACAGCAAGACACAGACAGGTAAGGCTTGAAATGTCTCCCCCCACCCATTAGTTACTTATCATGGCCTCAGTGCATTTACTTTTCAAATCACTGTTCTGATTTCAGCTGTGGGTCAATTCACAGGATTGTAATCAAGTTTTATATCTTTTTACATTTGGACCAGCCGTATCAGAGGCTGTTCAAATTGCAGTGCTACATGTGCAAAGATGGAAAACTAAAAGTCCACAGAGGACGGCTGGTGTTAACTGTTAGAGGAGAGGCTGAGATTAAAATGGAAAGTTTGGATGCCACGTCACCCAATCTTACAAGTTTATTATGGATGGGGGAAAAAAAATGTTGATCAAGTTTATGCAAAGTCAGTGTGTAGCACTCTACTTCCACTCATTAGAAGACAAAATGACTCCTGATCAAGTCAATAATAATCTTGAGCAATCTTCTTCCAGTAGGTGCTGATTTTTAGAGTAACACATTCCCCCTACAATAGACCAACAGTAGATTGTAAAAAATACATTTCTAAATAGATTCCATAGCTGCTGTCCACATTCAAATCACATTTGGGAATACACTTATGGAACAGATTTGAATGTATGACTATTGTAATTATTAGGATTTAGTTTGATGTACTTAAAGTTCTGCCTGTAATTTTTCTTTAAAGTCAGTGTTTAGAAAAGCGCTGTACAAATTAAATGTATCATTATTATTATTATTA